GTGGGTATAAGGACACATATGTAATATCTTAATCAATAAAAAATATATTAGAAAAAAAAAGAACTAAAGGAAAGTATGAGAACAGTGCCTTATCAAATAGAGGTGATTAATAAGTGATAGAAATTTTTAAAAAAAGGAATCAAGAAATTCTGGGGTTGTAAAGTACAATACCTGAAATGAAAAAGTCACTAGAGGGGCTCAATATCAGAGTTGAACTGGCAGAAGAAAGAATCAGCAAACTTGTTGATAGGTCAGTTGAGATTATCCAGTCTGAAGAACAGAAAGAAAAAAGAATAAAAGAAAATGAACAGAACCTCAGATCCTGTAGAACACCATCAAGTCTATCAACAGATACATAATGGGAGTCTTAGAAGGAGAAGATAGAGAGAAAGGAGCAGAACAAATAAATATTTGAAAAACTGTGCCCAAAACAAATCCCAAATTTGATGAAAAACAATAAATTTATGCACCCAAGAAGCTCAGTGAACTCCAAGTGGCATAAACTCAAAGAGAGCTACACCTAGCCCTATCATAATAAAAAAAAGAATCCTGAAAGCAAGAGATAAGCAACACATTACATACAAGGGATCTTTGATGAGATTAAAAGCTCATTTGTCCTTGGGAACATGGATGCCAGAAGGCAGTGGGATGAAACTAGATGCCGTGTGAAACCTTCAACTGCATTTGACCTCTGAGTCTTAGATAGCTCAGATCTCTCACATCTTCAGAAATAACATGTCAGTTTAGTTCCTAAAAAACAATTACTCAGGTTTCTTCTTTCTTTTGCATTTGATTTTAATCTTTAATATCTAACATTTTTGTTTTAGGAAAATTTCCCCTTGAAACAGGAATAGAATACTAATTACATTAAAATACACACATATAAAAAGTAGTCCTGCATTTTCCCAGGAAAAGAACAATAATTTCTAGAATACTCAAGTGTTTTGTTTTAATCATAATTAAAGTCTTGGTCATCTCATTATCTCTGTAACTTACATATTTAAATTAAATATTAGATACCCGTTAACAATTTTTAAATGTAAGGTGCCATTATTGAGTAAATAGATTCTTCTGTGAGTGAATGTGTCCCTTCTCCCTCCCACTTATGAAGCAGCAATATGGTTAGTTTACTTTTATGAGTAGAACATCTATTGCTGCAAACGCTAATTCTCCTCTCTCCCCTGTGTTTTTTTCGTAAGTGTGAGTTGTTCAGGCAGCTCGGGCAACCTCTCTAGCAATCAACAGCAAGAGGAGCTAGGCTTGGGCTTTCAGTGCAGACTTGACGGTGTCTGTCTGAATCAAGTGATCTCACCTATCCTCAGTAGCAAGCACTCTTTGAACTGCTTCCTCAAATGCTGCTGTGATGTTCGTGGCATCTTTTGCACATTTTTCAGAGTTAGGGTAGTTGCCGTTGTCCCTGCACCAGGCTTGGGTTTCTTCTGCAGACACCTGCTGTTCACTTATGTCAATCTTGTTACCCAAAATGACAAAAGGAAAGCTTTCGGGCTCTTTTACATCTGCATAATATATGAATTCTTTCTTCCAGTTACTCAAGTTCTGGAAACTTTGAGAATCATCGACACTAAAAGTGAGCAGGCAACAGTCAGAACCTCTGTAAAAGGGCGTCCTCAGGCTTCCGAATCTCTCTTGACCGGCTGTGTCCCAAATCTGCATGGTAACAAACTGTCCATCTACCTCCAAATCTTTACTTAAAAATTTCACACCTATTGTATGGAAGAGCTGGGTATCAAACTTATTAGTCACATATCTGTTCATTAGAGAACTCTTCCCAACTCCACATCTCCAAGGAGAATTATTTGAAAAAGTGATGATTTTCCTGCCGTTATGAATCTCAAGATCTTTGACTTTAGAACCCTTTTCAAGCATCATCATTATCTCTCAGACTCTGGGAAGATTCACTCAGATGTGGACAACAGGGGGAAAGTGATTCACCACTGTGCAGGTTCATCATAGGAGTACAGGTTGTTTCCCGCGGCCACACCGAGGACATCGGAGAGTTCTGGAGAGTTCTATCCGGGGCAATGAGGAAAGCGAGAGGGTCAGAGACCCAGCAGGCTGGACGCGGTAGTGAAGGTGCTGCCCGAGTCCAACTCTCAAGCTTCTTTTATAATTGAGCTGCAGGAAGTCTGTCTTTTACCAAGTTCTTCTCAAGTATTTCTAGAACTATGGAAGGCTTATGATGTGTTCTACCAAGGCTGGAACATAGTATGGGCTCAAAAAAAATTTTTCTAGATGAACGAACTCTACCTGGGTTGTTTATATCCAACTGTCCGTCCACTTTTCCTGCATGTCACCTAGTTCTCCCTGTCTCAGGGCTCTAGCCTCTCTCTCAGACCATTTTGCCTGAAACATACAAATAGGCCTGTCTCATAACTTCTCAAAACACAGCTTTTAAATTTTTTATTTGAGAGAGAGAGAGAGAGAGAGAAACATGTTGTTCCATTTATTTATGCACTCATTGCTTAATTCTTTTGTATGTGCCCTGACCGGGGATTGTACCCACAACCTTGGTACATCAGGATGATGCTGTAACCAACTGAGCTACCTGGCCAGGGTTCAAAATACAGCTTTAAAAAATATTACCTGATATTTCATAAAATTTTACTGAATACTTGGGGATAGCAGAATGGAATTACAATACAGAAAAAGAAAGTTTTGGCTCCAAAGGTGAATTCAAACTTTACCATGTCAATGTAAGAAGTGTACAGACCAGTAGAGAATTTTGATGAGTTTACTAGTGTCCTGGTGTATGGATTCGTGCACATTGAAAGGAAATTAATTAAAAAGAAATATTTTAATATTGCTATTTGCGTCATGATAATGAAAAGAAAATAGTATTCTATTAAGTCTCCTATCTACTTACTCCAGGACTTCTATGAGGATCAAATGAGATGAGGCCCGGGAAAATGCTTCACAAACATTTGATTAAACTAAAATCTTTGCACCTGGCTATAAAGCAAGTCATGTTCCTGGGCCAAAGAAACTCCAAGGGGGCTATTATTAAACTAAAATCTTTGCACCTGGCTATAAAGCAAGTCGTGTTCCTGGGCCAAAGAAACTCCAAGGGGGCTATTGGCTAGGGAGAGGAAGCCAGGCGTAGCTATGTGATGTCATTACCCAGCACCCACAGCCACCGTTTCCCCGCTGGGCTGGGCTGTGGGCTGCATTTTGTGCCATGGGGTCTTGGCAGCGTTGGCTGTAATTTGGTAGGGTATTGCTCCAGGGTGGTGGCGGGGCCTGTGTCCCACTTGGGGGAAGCTGAGTGTTAGTTTGTCTGCGCCAGGTCCGTGGTGCCGTTTATTTTTAAATGGTCAGTGCGAGTCATGGCAGCTCCTGTGTTGAGCTTCTGCCCCCTGGTGGTCAGTGCACGTCATAGCTACTGGTCAGATGGACGGACACTTAGCCTTTTTTATATATAGATTTGAGCCAAGCTCATGACATATGCCAGGGAGCGAGATCTCAAGTGCCCCAGAGAATAAGTTTTGTAGCTTCTTTTATGCATTTGAAAGTTAGGAAGGAGCTAAGGAAGATTTCATGGAAATGGGAGAAAGCAAGATGGAAACTGATTGTAGGATAGTTAACAAGATTATGTGTTCCCTTGTGGGTGGTTATACCTTCAAGGGATCTGAAAAAGAATTACTCTGGCATTTCAAAAGTGTGTTAACCTAGATGCACAAGAACAATGGGCCGGGCTTGCTTAAGGCAAAGATAAACCTTTTACTAAAGAAGTTATAGGCCTGGAGCATGACGACCCACCATACCTGCCCAGTGAGGAATTTATGATCAAATCACCGTGTGAGGTGACTTTCACTGGTCTTGGCACTTTTACTACCGAACCCCTTTTTCTTCGTATGTGAATAGGACTTTATAGTTTTATCATTTTAGCCGACAGTTCTTACTGTCAATGGTTAAGGTCATGGGTTTGGTGTTTATGGATGATGGAGCAGAGGTTCTAATGGGTTCAATGACTCACCCAGCTCCACCAGTAAGAGGCAATCCGATTCCTGGCCTCGGGTTCTTCCACAGGATATTAGTGTGATGTCTCAGGGTCACTGTCACAGGGCTGAAAAGACCGATCTGAAGCTCTCTCTTTCCCATTTAAGTTCATCTCTTAATGGGCATTTGCAGCTTCTATAACTGGAGCCATTTATTGTCACCTGCACTGTGCCTGTCCTCCCTGCTGTGTGGCCCGAGGCCATTTCTGTAGGCCCTGAAGGTTTGCCTCAGCCTTTCTGGATTTTGACTATCCCATTCCAATTGGTTGCAAAACAGCCATTTGTGTTTTTGCTGACCTGGGCCATCTTTTTATCCCTTTTTACTTCTGATATTCTTAAGAGGCAATTTTAATATTTGGCAGAATAAACTCCCCATGATCTAATTCTGAGTTTTCAATTGACTGAATGGTTTAAGAAGGGCAAAAGTTATGACTGTGCAGTATTCCAAGAAATTGTTCCTTTCTCAAGCATTTACTGTGTATCTGTGGATACAGCTCTTTCCTGGATGCTGTAATAAATGAAATAGAGAATAGAAAAAACAAAATAAAATCAATAAAACCAGAAGTTGGTTCTTTGAAAAGATCAACAAAATTGGCAAACCTTTAGCTAAATGGACTAAGAGAAAAAGAGAGAAGATTCAAATTACTTAAATCAGAAAAGTGGGAACATTACTGATTCTATAAAGAGAAAAAGAGAGAAGATTCAAATTACTAAAATCAGAAATAAAAGTGGGAACATTATTGATTCTATTGAAATAAAAAGGTTATGAGACAACTGTGCACAATTATACGCCCTCATTTCCCCTCCTTTGCCCACCTCCAGCCAGCCCCAAGACAATTTTGAAAAAGTCAAAACTGGAGACTCACACCTTCTGATTTCAAAACCTACTACAAAACTGCAGTCATGCCCTGCTGGCGTGGCTCAGTGGTTGAGCATTGACCTTTAAACCAGGAGAATACGGTTGGATTCCCGGTGGGGTGGGGCATGTGCCCCAGTTGCAGGCTTGATCCCCAGTTGGGGGCATATAGGAGGCAGCCATTTGGTGATTCTTTCTCCTCATTGATGTTTCTCTTTCTCCCTCTCCCTTTCTCTTGAAATCAATAAAAATCTCTCTCTATATAAAAAGGCTAAGTGACTGACTATACGTCCATCCGACCACCTGTCCAACCGGCTAGTACATATGACGTGCGCTGGCAACTTAAAAATAAACGTTGCCGTGGCCGGTTTGGCTCAGTGGATGGAGCGTCGGCCTGCGGACTGAGGGGTCCCAGGTTCGATTCCGGTCAAGGGCATGTAGCTTGCTTGCGAGCACATCCCCGGCGGGAGATGTGCAGGAGGCAGCTGATCGATGTTTCTCTCTCATCGATGTTTCTAACTCTCTATTTCTCTCCCTTCCTCTCTAAAGAATCAATAGAATATGTTTTAATAAATAAATAAATAAATAAACGTTGACTTGTGCATGCGCGATACATATCAAGCTCTCACTGGCACCAATAGCACGCCTGTATTTAGATCTGTCATTGTCTATTGTGAATTTGATTGACACTTCTATTATAGAGAAAGGGCGAACAGTGATATTAAAATATTTCTTCTAATTAATTTCCTTTCAATGTGCATGAATCTGTGCACCAGGCCACTAGTATATTTATTAAAAAAACCTGCAATCATCAAAACAATGTGATATTGGCAAAAGACAGACATAGACCAACTCTCGCATATACATGGTCAAATGATTTTTGAAAAGGATGCTAAGACCAATGGGGAAAGGACAGTCTTTTAAAAAAAATAGTGCTGGGAAAACTGGATATTCACATGCCAAAGAATGAAGTTGGACTCTCACCTAACACCATCTATAAAAATTAACTCAATGGATCAAGGACCTAAATGTTTTATTTAAAACAATAAAACTCTTAGAAGAAAACATAGGACAAAAGCTTCACGACACCAAACTTGGTAATGATTTCTTGGATATGACACCAAAAGCACAGGTAACAACAACAAAAAGACAAATTGAATTTAATAAATTTTTAAAATGTGCATTAAAAGATATTATTCATAGAGTAAAATGGCAACCCACAGAATGGGAAAAAATATTTGCAAATCATATATCTGGTAAGGGATTAATATCCAAAATATACAGGGAACTCCTAAAACTCAACAACATGAACAATAAAGGAAAAGATTAAAAAATGGGCAAAGAACTTGAGTGGACATTTCTTCAGAGGATGTATGAATGACCAATGAGCATATGAAAAGACATATTATAATGATAGTTGCCAGGGATTGGGGGAAGGGGGGGAGGGAAGAATGGAAGTTATTGATAAATGGAGACAGTTTCAGTTTTATAAGATGAAAGAGTTACAGACGGGGATGGATGATGGTGATGATGGTTGGACAACAATGTGAATGTATTTAATACCACTGAACTTTACAGTTAAAAATGGTTAAGATTGTAAATTTTATGTAATGTGTATTCTACCACAATAAGAAAAAAAGGAAAAATAAATAAAATAAGGAGACTTTTTGGTATACGGACAACAGAAAAAATATTTAAAAGTTTTGTTTTTTTGTTTTTTAAACAGAAAAACAAGAATCAGGCCAGCCTGAAATTAAAACCTACCAAGATCAACTTGGCAGTAGCAGGATAACAATGGGGTATTCACATAGTCTCCTCAGGAATTCAACAAATGTGAGGGTTATGGGGAATTTCATAAATCAAAAGGGCAAGATGTTCGGAAAAAGAATTATGTGAAAATAAGAATCTGTAACCGGAGATAAGAGGGAAGGGGGACCAGGGTCTGAAATAGGATGTCATTTTTAAATCCCTTAAAACATGTATTAATAATTGCCTGTGTACTATTCCTGCTCTCAAAAGCTGCCCTATCTTCATAGTGAATGTTAGAGTGGACCCAAACCCTGGGAAGACGAACTTGGTACAGATGTGCCAACCACAAGTCTTTAAAAGGGGCACACCTCGTTGGTTCCATCAGAGTCACAAAGTGGCCTTCTGGGGTAAATTAGTGCAATGCTGGTCTACAGTATCGACTCCATGTCTGTGATGTTCAAAAACAAGCAAAATTGCCCTCGCTGGTTTGGTTCAGTTGTTATGAACGTTATATGAAATGTCCAGAATAGGTAAATACATAGAGACAGAAAGTAGATTGGTGGTTGCCAGGGGCTGGGGGCGGGGAGGGAAGAAATGGGGAGTGACTATTAAGGGTACTGAGTTTTTTAGTAGGGGTGTTTGAAAATGTCCTAGAATTAGTGGTGATATTTGCACAACATTTTGTAAATACTAAAAACCTCTGAATTATGCACTTTAAAATGGTCAAAATGACAGGGGGGGAGGGGGCGACAAAATTTTTTTAAGTAGCAAACTGAAAGCTTAATAACATTTCTCCTCTTTGTCAAAGCACCTGTACATTTTGTACATATT